AAACATCATTTAATGTGAGGTGGTATTACTCTGTACCTGCTATTGCTGTACTTGGTATAGGATTCTATTATAGCAGTCCAGGTTTTAGTCGGGGATTTTTGGGATCAGGTTTTAAATGGGGAAGTGGTAGTGATTCTTCTCTAAATTTGAGTATTGAAGTTTTACCAGACTGCCGTATTGCGACCAATGATGTGAATTTTGGAACAGCAGCCTTTGCAGATGCCTTTACACCAGTGAAAACCTCGATGGGAATACGCTGTTCAGTCAAGACACCTTATAAAGTGAGCCTGAATGATGGTCTTTATCCACAAAATGGCAATCAACGTGCAATGAAGTCAGAAACGGGGAATAACTATATGAGTTATGAAATTTATAAAAACTCAACTACGGAACGCTGGGGAAGAAATAACGAGCAGTGGTTGAGCGATGTTGCGACTACAAATCCTGGTATTTATGATGCGAAAACTCAGCAGGGTTATGCTTTCACAACAAAAATTCTGGATACAAATTCACTGAGTCTGCCTGCTGGTAAATATAGTGATACTGTAACTGTACAGGTCGAATTTTAAGAGATACTCACAATAACATCATGATTTTTTATCATGATGTTAATTATAAAAAAGAATACATATAATTAAATTATTAATTTACACTATTAAAAACACCTAAGCTATATTCTTTTATTTATTTAAGTGGTTTTTTATATTAAGCACCAGTGAAATAAATAATTATTTTTTGAAAAAAATTCTTACATCATATTATTTATTTTGTCGCTAATTTCTTGTATTTGTTTGTTAAATAATTTTTTCGTATTTCGTGTGTTTAAATTAATCCTGCTATTTTTTTATAATGATTCTGATTTTATGCTTTTAAATCATTAATAGTGTTTAAAACACCAATATAATTTTCAACAGATGTTTTTTTTATTAGTATAAGATTATAATAATTGTTTTAATTATAAGAGGGTTATTTGTTGTGCGAGTCTATGCATATTTTAGAGTTGATGATTTGTCTATAAAAGACAGTAATTATGTCTCCTATATTTCAAACGCTGGTTATGAAATACCAAATAAACGAGTGATCTTTGAAGAGGTGGAAGCCGGTATATCATTAAAATATAGAAATAAATTTATTAATTTAGTCAATTATGCGATGGAAAGCGGTGATTTATTGTTAATCAATGGAATTGATTCATTAGGTGGTAACTTTAATGAAGTATCTTCAAGTGTAAATTTGATTTTTAAAAAAAAAATTCGATTAATCTGTTTAGATTTTTCTAAAAATGAAATTGTGGGAGATCTTAAGAAATTATTTATGCATTTTTTAAAGTTATGTTCTGATTTTGAAGAGAAATCTAGTTTTTCTAAAAAGAGCATTATGAATAAAGCAAAAAAGCGTGTAGGTCGTCCCGAGATTTTAACTGATAAGCAAAAGAAAGAAGCCTTGGATAAGTTTAAAAAAGGCCATACTGTTTATTCAATTGCTAAGCATTACTCAGTTACTCGAACAGTCATCCAACGCTTAATTTTAAAATCTTCTGACGTCATTAATAGTGATGAAAAGTAAATGAGGAGTATAAAACTTCAGAAAAATCATATAAGTAGGTTTGCGATTGCGCAGAAAAGATCTGATTTTAACAAAACAATTATTGTCCAATTGGTTTATGTGTTACGACAAGTAAATCCCAAAAAAGCAAAAAATTTGATGAGTCATTATAGTATTGAAATAAAGTCGATAAATGGTTTGATCAACTATAGGATTCAAGGGATTAAACATGAGGGAAAAATGATTATCTTTTTATATGGTTCTGATTTATATTTTTTGGATCTAAATAAATCATTGTTTGATTATGAGTCTTGATTTGTTTTTGGTGTGATAAAGTATATATTTATAGTTGTTTTATTCGGTTTTAAAAATAAAATTTAAGATTTTCTTTGATATCGTATTTGGTTTTTTGTTATTAATGTATTTTAAAATTTATTTTGAATAAATCAATTTTTAACCAATTTTTCATAATGTGAGGGTTTTATTTTATGGATTTTAAATATTTAAATTGAGTGTTTGTGTTTTTTAAATTAATTTTTTTATTTAACGTTGCATGAGAGGAGGGTGCTTAATTTATATTTTAAATTTGGTAAATTATGTTTAATGGATTAAAAAATTGTTAAATTTAAAATATTTTTATTAAAATAATATTTGTACGTGATTTTAGAAAATTATAAGCTCGATTTAAAATTTAAATGTCAAAATATTTGGGAAGTATCCAAAATAGGGTTGAATACTTCCCAACATAGTCAGAACCGTTTTATCAATAAACAGTCTAAATTTGAACCATCTTAATTTGAATAGTCTTAGTTTAAAGTCGGCATTGAAAATTGTTTGTTTTCTCGAATGTTGGCAGAAGGCCAGCGTTGAGTAATAGTTTTTCGACGTGTATAAAAACGTACACCATCTGGACCATACGCATACAAATCACCAAAGAGTGAACGTTTCCAACCACCAAAACTATGATAAGCGACAGGTACTGGCAAAGGAACATTGATACCCACCATACCTACTTTAATATGGTCTGAGAAATAACGTGCTGCTTCTCCATCACGGGTATAGATGCATGTTCCATTACCATACTCGTGGTTATCAATCAGATCCATGGCTTGTTGCATGGTCTCTACCCGCATAATTTGTAAGACTGGGCCAAAAATTTCCTGTTGGTAGCTATGCATATTCGCGGTAACTTGATCAATTAAAGTGGGCCCCACAAAAAAACCATTTTGATAATCGCCAACGCTTGCTTGTCTGCCATCCACAACAATTTTTGCACCTTGTTGCTCCGCACTGTCAATAAAACCAATCACTTTAGCTTTATGTTCAGCCGTAATCACAGGTCCAAAATCATTATTTTTATCAGCATAATGCCCGAATTTTAATTTACTGATTTCATTTTGAAGTTTAACAATGACGGTATCTGCAATTTCGTCACCGACTGCAACCGCAACAGAAAGCGCCATACACCGTTCACCTGAGGAACCAAAAGCAGCACCAAGGAGGGAATTCACCACATTATCAACATCTGCATCGGGCATGATAATGGCGTGATTTTTTGCCCCACCTAAAGCTTGACAGCGTTTGCCGGCAGCTGTGGCCGTTTTATAAATATATTCAGCAATTGGTGTTGAGCCTACAAAACTAACCGCTTGAATACGCTGATCATTTAAAAGTGTATCTACTGCAACTTTATCGCCATTGACCAGATTAAAGACACCATCGGGAAGTCCAGCTTCTTTTAGTAATTGAGCAATATATAATGTTGAAGATGGATCACGCTCAGAAGGTTTTAAAATAAAGCAGTTGCCACAGACAATTGCCATTGGGAACATCCAAAGTGGCACCATCACAGGAAAGTTAAATGGGGTAATTCCTGCAACGACACCTAAAGGTTGAAATTCACTCCAAGAGTCAATATTCGGCCCAACATTTTTGGAGAATTCACCTTTTAAAAATTCGGGTGCACCGCAAGCATATTCAACATTTTCAATCCCGCGCTGTAATTCCCCAGCTGCATCATGGCAAATTTTACCGTGTTCTAAACCAATCAGCTCACAGATTTTATCGGCATTTTTTTCCAGCAACTCTTTAAACTTAAACATGACTCGCGCACGTTTGATCACTGGGGTATCACGCCATGCCGGAAAGGCATTTTCTGCTGCCGCTATTGCATCAAGTACCGTTTTTTGGCTGGCAATGGCCACTTGAGAATTTGATTCACCTGTTGCTGGATTAAATACTTTTTGGCTACGACTTGCTTCTGTTGAAAGTTGTCCATTAATAAAATGCCCGATTGTATTCATTGAGATCTCCTGATTTATTTTGGTTAAAAATTAAGACCATAATTGCTGATAAAGTTTTACGATTTCTTCTTTGGTTGGAAGACGAGGGTTATTACTTGGTGAGCCTGAAGCAAGTGCTTGTTCTGCCATAGTATTTACAACTTCGTCAAAATATTGCTTATCTGCTCCAAAAGCTTCTAAAGTTGGCACTTGAAGGGATGTATTAATGTCTTTTAATGCTTCAATTAACTTGGCATTGGCAGATTCAATAGAATCATTTTGCTGCGCTGCCCCCATGGCCTTGGCACAGTTCGCATATTTTTCAGGTTCAGCAGGTATTGAATATTCAATAATCATGGGCAATAACATGGCATTCGATAAACCATGCGGGACATGGAAAAACGCGCCAATAGGCCGACTCATGCCATGAACTAAGGCAACAGATGCATTATTAAAAGCCACACCAGCCAATGTTGCACCCAGCATCAATGCTTCTCGGGCAGCTTCATCATTTGGATCAAAATAGACTTTTTTAAGGTTTGGGCCAATTAAGCGCATGGCCTCTAATGCTTGAGTATCGCTATATAGATTGGCTTTTTTGCTGGTATAGGCTTCAATCGCATGGGTTAAAGCATCTATACCCGTATCTGCTGTGGTACGGGCAGGTAAACTTAACGTCAGTTCATAATCCACAATCGCAGCAATGGGCATAAAACCAGCACCGACACAGAGCATTTTTTCATTACTTTCATCATCGGTAATGATCGTGAATTTGGTTGCTTCAGAACCTGTACCTGCTGTTGTTGGAACAGCAATAATTGGTAAGCCTTGTTCATTGACTTGTCTAGGGAACTTATAATCTCGGATTTTTCCACCATAGCGACCTAAGATGCCAATGGCTTTTGCACTGTCAATCGGACTACCACCACCCACAGCAATAATTGAATCATATTGATGTGCTTGAATAAACTGAACCCCAGCTTCAATAGAACTTGAGGTGGGTTCTGGAATGGTTTGATCAAAAAAGTCTGCTTCAATATTTTCATGTTTAAGAATCTTTTGAATATCCGCGATATAGCCTAACTTCACCATCATTTGATCAGTGATGATCAGTGGTTTATTACAGCCTAAGCTTTTTAAAATGTGAGGAATTTTCTGTCGGGCATTTTTTCCGATTTCAAGAAATCTGGGCAATAAAATTGTATGTGACATAAGCGAACTCCATTTTAGTTTCATTCCATTTACATGCATTTTGTATTTAAAAAAAGACCAAGTTGCATGCTGTAAATTAGCTTTATAATATTTGTATATTGATATGTATCGTATCAATATAAAATTATATGTAAACAGGTTTTTTATGAATTTTATTTAAATAAAATTATTTATCTATAAATAACAATAATTTGATCTGTTTTTTAAAGTGAAAAAGAATTTTGTCTAGATTCCTCATTCAAAATTAGCTATACATATATAACGATACATTATGTATCAATATAATTAAATAAATGGAGTTTAGAATGATAGGACTATTTGGAATAGTAGTGTCCTTGGTATTGCTCATGTATTTAGCTTACAAAGGTTTTAGTGTCATTATTTTGGCGCCTTTACTCGCACTGTTTGCGGTCATTTGGAGTGGGATGACGCATGAATTATTAGGGTTTTATTCGCAAGTATTTATGAGTGGTCTAGGTGGGTACATCATTAAATATTTTCCACTTTTTCTGTTAGGCGCTGTCTTTGGCAAACTCATGGATGACAGTGGATCAGCTCGCACAATCGCAATTTTTTTTGTTGAACGCTTAGGGCATCATCGCGCGATGTTATCGATTGTGATTTCCTGTGCAATCTTAACCTATGGTGGTGTTTCGCTTTTTGTGGTGGGCTTTGCTGTATTTCCAATTGCTTCGGCATTATTTAAAGAACTGGGTATTCCTAAACGACTCATTCCTGCGGCAATCATGCTGGGTGCATTAACCTTTACAATGACCGCATTGCCTGGTACGCCTGCGATTCAAAACGCAATTCCAATGCCATATTTTAAAACAGACCTATATGCTGCGCCTGTGCTTGGCATCATTGCCTCGATTTTTATGTTAATCACGGGGATGTGGTGGCTGAATAGAAGAGTTGAACATTCGATAAAACAAGGCGAAGGTTATGGTAATCATATTGAACATCATAAAGAAATTTTAACCCATTCAGATCCTAGCCTACTGATTGCAATGATCCCGATTGTATTGGTGATTTTATCGAATTTAATATTATCTAAAGTGATTTTTCCAAGTATGGATACTTCATATTTGGCCACGGCTCAATTTGGTCACACCAGTCTAAACTCTGTGATTGGTCTTTGGTCGATTATTACTGCATTGGTGATCGCATGTATTGCCATTATTGCGCTCAATTGGAAACGGATTAATGATATTCGAGACAGTATTCAAAATGGTGTTTCTTCTTCATTTTTACCTATTTTTAATACCGCTTCAGAAGTGGGATATGGGTCAGTTATTGCATCTTTAGCTGGTTTTGTTATTTTAAAAGATTTTTTAGTCGGTTTAGCGCCAAGTAATCCGCTGGTTTCAGAAGCAATTTTGGTCAATGTACTGGCTGGGATTACAGGTTCTGCGTCTGGAGGTTTGAGTATTGCATTGAATACGATGGGTGAAACCTATATGAATCTAGCACAAGATTTTGGCATTTCACCTGAATTAATGCACAGAGTTGCCTCTATGGCTTCAGGTTCTTTAGATTCTCTTCCACATAAGGGCGCAGTGATTACAATTATTGCACTTTGTGGTCTTACGCATAAGCAATCTTATTATGACATGTTTGTGGTCGCAGTTATTTTTCCACTACTTGCGTTGATTGGAGTGATTACACTTGGAACATATTTTGGATCATTTTAAGACTTGAGTTTTTAAAGCTAGAGACTTGGGTATTCTAAGTCGCTAGCTTTTATTATTTAATCGATTGAATTTTTTATATAGATGTTTAAATCATTGGCTGCATCTCTTAATGCATCTTGATAGCTGATTAAGTCATCTAAGGATTTTCGAATACTTGGCGCATGGGTATATAAGCAGGCAATGATTTCACCATTGGGGTGGAGTATAGGCACTGAACAGGCCACCATCCCTGCGATAAACTCTTCATTATCGGTGCCTAAATTTGTCACGCCAATACGCTGAATTTCAGATTCCAGCAAATTAAGATCTGTAATGGTGTTTTTGGTGTACTGGGTGATTGGAATATTTTTTAGAATATTTTTCCTTTTTTCTGCGGATAAATGGCTTAAAAAAAGTTTGCCACTTGATGTACACCAGACAGGCACTGTTGAACCGACGGGTAAATATACCTGTAATGGCCAGTTTGTCTGTATACGGTCTACATACAACATATGATTATCTTGTAGGATTGCTATACCACAGGTTTCGCCAATCTTATTTGACAGTTTTTCTAAAATAGAAAACCGTTCAATTCTAAATTTTTCATTTTCCCAAACATTAAATAATAGTTGTTTGACTCTTCCACCCACCAACAAGCCACCATGTAAATCTACTTTGACATAACCTTCTTTTTCTAATAGTTGGATGAGTCGATGAATACTGGGCTTTGGAATATCAAGGGCTAAAGAGAGATCAAGTGGGGAAGGGGGATGTTTTGCTTCACTAATGGCTTCTAAAATCTCAAGTACTCGTGTGATCGATGAACCTTTATTTCGTTTTGTATCTTGTGTCATAAAATTTTCCAAAAGACCCTGCTTCATTCATACCCACTTGAGCTTATGGATATTAACATTTGAATGTTATAGGTATGAAATGTCAACAGATCCTAAATAAGCCTTTAAAATACTAACGTGATTTATTCCAACTCAAAATTTTAAATAATCCAAACATCACAATAATCCAGATTGGAATCAAAATGACCGATTCTTTAAAGTTTTGCACCCACATGATATATAGGATCATACTGATAAAAACTAAAACAATATAATTGCTTACGGGTGAAAACAATGAGGGAAATTTTACCCTTGTCCCTTCCAACTTTTTAGCACGTTTAAATTTTAAATGGGTAAAACTAATCAGTGCCCAGTTTAAAACCAGAGCAGCAACAGCCAAATACATCAGATGACTTAATGCTTCTTCAGGCACAAAATAATTTAGTAATACACAACCAAAAATCAGTATAGAAGAGAAGATCACCGCAGTGATTGGTACACCTTGTTTGCTGACTTTTGCAAACATCTTCGGTGCATTGCCTTGTACTGCAAGCCCATACAGCATACGACTATTGGCATACATACCACTGTTATATACCGAAAGTGCGGCAGTTAGAATAATAAAATTGAGTAAATGTGCTGCCCAACCTAAGCCCAGTTGGCTGAAAATCATTACAAAGGGACTTTTATCTAAACCGCCAAGATCAAGTTGATTCCATGGAATTAAGGACATGATGATGGCAAGAGAAGCCACATAAAAAACCAAAATACGGAAAATCACGCGATTGACTGCTTGTGGTATGCTTTTTTCAGGGTTTTCTGCTTCGGCAGCCGTCATCCCAATCAATTCAATGCCGCCAAATGCAAACATTAAAAAGGCCAGCATATAAAATAACCCTGAAAAACCATGTGGGAAAAATCCGCCATGTTGCCAGAGGTTTGCCACAGTTGCAGTTGAATCCGCACCTGCTGTGAGCAAAAGATATAAACCAAACACAATCATCGAAATCACAGCAACAACTTTGATAATGGCTAACCAAAATTCAGATTCACCATAAAATTTAACATTGCCTAGATTAAAACCAGTCACGATGACAAAGAAAAATAAAGCGGAGACCCAAGCGGGAATATGCGGCCACCAATAATGCACATATTTAGCCACCGCTGTAAGTTCAGTCATGGCGACTAAAATATACATTACCCAGTAATTCCAGCCAGATAAAAAGCCAGGAAATTTTCCCCAATATTTTTGTGAAAAATAACTGAATGAACCTGCAACAGGTTCTTCTACAATCATTTCACCCATTTGGCGCATGATTAAAAAGGCAATCAAACCGACGATGGCATAGCCTAAAATAATCGAAGGACCAGCAGATTGGATGACTTGTGCAGAACCTAAAAATAATCCTGTACCCACAGCGCCACCCATAGCGATCAATTGGATATGACGATTTTTAAGTCCACGTTTTAATTGGGAAGATGAGCGATTCAAAATATGCTGTGCTGAATAAAAGAAGCCATTGTAATAGATTGGCTATAGATAACCTAGTTTGAAAACGATGTTGTTGAGGCAATTTTAAAAGATATTGAACACTGGGATATTAGAACGCTTCCATCTATTAAAATATGATCATATTGAGTGAATCACATTACTATTGAAAGAGCCTTCTCACTTTGGGAGAAGGCTAGGATGAGGGGTATCTATACTTCTAAAAAAGACTTATAAAACAAGCTTATTCAGATTTTTCTAATCTACGCAGTGGATGCATGCCCTCAACCATACCCATAAATGGTGGGTAAATTGAGTAACCAACCAAGGCTTGAAGTTCAGGTGAAATCGACCTTACCGTATCTTTGGAAAGTTCAAGCAAATAGTTTTCTTGCTGTCGGACATAGGCTTCACAGTACTGATGAGTAATCGCAAAGCGTGAGGATTTCGAATGATTTTGACCGCCACCATGCCAAGTCGTACCGAGAAAAAAGATCACCGAACCTGCAGGCATCACTGCGGGTATCGCTTCTGATCTTTGTGCAAATCGATCATCTCCCCAGTGATGGCTGCCAGGAATAATTACTGTTGCACCATTCTCTTCGGTAAAATCATCAATTGCCCAGACGGTTGCAGCACCAAGTGGCTGACGAGGGCGGGGGAGGCGATAAAAAGCATCATCATAATGCAGACTTTGAGCGATTTCACCTGAAAGTATATTGATGATTTGACTCTGAGAGAGCAGGAAGTTGGGTTGAAACAGACGATCCATAAGACCAAGAATGTGAGGATGTACGGCAAGTTGATCAGTGATTCGCGTTTTTGAGAGAACATTATAGACACGCTGGGTTTGCTGACCTTCAAACGGGTTGCGTCCAGTTTGGTCGAGAAGAGCAAGGCATTCTTGCTTAATCTGCTTGCAGGTTTCTTTGCTGATCAGGTTGTTGATGATGACATAACCATCACGCATTAAGGTTTGGAAATCTCGTTGGATTTCTGGCGTATTTCGCTCAGGCCCTGGTTGTAATTGTCGATGGGTCTTTGCGTGATCTTTTTTATTATATTGACGAATATCTAATTTAGACATTGAAAGCTCCTTGATTTAACGTGCTGGGCAGAACGAAACGCTTAGTTCATATTGTTTCCTGCCTTGGTTTTTTACTTGTTTCTCCAGATGACAGTGGGCTGAGTTGTAGGGTATTGCTTGTCAGATTCCAGAGTTGTTCGAATAGTTCCACATTCGAGGGCCTTTCTTTGGCAAGGATGGCTTGATCAATCGCCAGACGCAGACCTCCCATCAGCATTGCCACCGTTGTATTTGGATTAAGATCTGGACTGATTATCCCCAACTTCTGCCCTTGAGCAATGTTACGTGCACCAGCTTCTAATAATGCCTCCATGTGAGCGCGTTCGATATCAAGCACCTCAGGTTCACGGGCAAGTCGCCCAGCAATTAAAGGCGCCAGAGGGTGATTATAGAAATAGTCAATGATTGCTTTGGTACGGGTTTTTTCGCGTTCTCTCCATTCAATATTTGTTGGAATGCTGTCACCCAAAGCAAGTGCTCTCAATGGTTCATAGAATTGATCCACAACAGCGGCGATCAGACCTGTTTTTGAGCCAAAGTGATGATAGGTGAGTCCAGCTGATGTATTCGCCCTTTTGGCGATGGCACTAATCTCCATATGTCCATTGTTAGCAATCAATTCCTGTTCTGCTGCAGTGATCAAGCGTTGGTAAGTCGCGATCTTTTTTTCGGTCATGATTTTATTCTTAAAAAAACTGAATTGAATTCAATTTAGTTTTTCTTGCGAGGATTGTCAACAGCATTTCGCCAAGATCAGTTAGAGAAATGGCTTTACCATAAGCTCTAAAGTGAGCTTGAGTCTGAGTAAGTGGAACTATTGTTAGTGAGAAATAATTGGAAAAAGCAAATATAAGAAAGTAAAAATGTGGCAGAGATTTTTAATTGATCTCTTTAAAATGAATAGTATATTTTTGATTTAATGCTTGCCGCTTTTATTGTACGGCTTGCTTACGAAATTGAATCGGCGTTACCCCACTCCATTTTCTAAATGCGCGAGCAAAATTTGCGGGTTGAATATATCCAAGATAATTGGCGATATCTTGGATTTCCATATTGCTGTTCAGTAAAAGTTTTTCAGCCTCTTTATATTTGACTTCGTCTAACAGAAGCAGGTAAGACGAATTTATTTCGTTGAGATGTCTTCTCAATGTACGACTCGACATATGTAAACGTTCGGCAACGTTGTCTAAAGAAGGGTAGCCTTTTTGAGGAACAAGCACCAATTCTGTTTTTACACGTAAGCAAATATCTTGAATTTGTTCAGAAAAACGAATTTGTTCTGTTTCACATTGTGCCAATGCTTGTTGAAATGCCGTCGGATCTGCCATTTGTGGGGAGAGCTTGAGCAGTGATAAGTTGTATCGGATTTGATTTTTATTTTGATTAAAAAGAATCAAGGGAAGTTGCTGTTGAAATTTCTGATGGTAGCGTGGTTCTGGCCAGTCGACTCTTAACTCAACTTGAGAAAAATCTTTTTCTATTAATGATCTACCTGTCTGAATAATTCCGATCATTAAACATTCATAAAAAAACCGTCTTAAAATTTCAGTTTGCTCTTTATCGTTACTGATCACAGGGTGAGTTTCTTGAATATCAATGACAGATAAATTTTCTTCCTCATAAAAATCAATTCGATAATCTTTTAAGCGCATATTAAAAAATTGCACTGCAAGCTCAATCGCATGACGCAAAGAGAGGCTACTCATTAACGCATATCCCATTGGGCCGTGAGCGGTTAAACGCAGTTTTAAGCCATACTCATATCCAAGTCCAAAGTCCTGAGCCAAGGTTAAACTTATCCAGGCTAATTTCGACCATTGTAAAGGCGTAATACGTGCATCTAGTTGGTTAAGCAGTGTTAAAGGAATTTTACTCTTTTGCAAAATATCAGGAGCGGAAAAGCCCTTTTCGACCATGATTTCTAATAATAAATGAACATAAGAAATTGGAATACTGGCTTTTGATAACCCATACGGATCTTTCATTTTGTTCTATGTGCTGGCCGAAAATGATTAGCATTATGTCTTAACTCCATCTCACGCTCAAGTTTTAGCTACGTGATACTAAGATTATTCTATTGATCTGAGTATTTGCGATGAGCTTACCTCGTCCCCTTAAAAATTCACCAGTGGTGATTACTGGCGCATCTTCAGGTATTGGTGAAGAACTTGCTAAACAGTTTGCTGAACGTGGTTATCCGCTTATTTTGGTTGCACGACGTGTAGATAAGCTTGAGCTTCTCGCTACCCATTTACGTCAGAAATATCAGGTAGAAGTGAGTTTACGCCCATGTGACCTCGCGAACCGTGAGGCAAGAACCCAGTTCCGTCTGGAATTGGAAAAGATGGATGTGGCTATTTTATGCAATAACGCTGGTTTTGCCACTTTTGGCCGATTACATGAGTTGGATGCTGACCGAGAGCGGGAAGAGACGGAAGTTAATGCTGTTGCGGTACAGGATCTTACTTTAGCTGTATTGCCTAAAATGATGCAACGTAAAACGGGTGCAATTTTGATTGTGGGTTCGACATCAGGCCATCAACCAACACCAGCCAATGCAACCTATGCTGCAAGTAAAGCTTTCGCGAACTCCTTTGCTGAATCTCTACATAGTGAGCTGAGTGGTACTGGTGTGACATGTACCTTATTAGCACCTGGGCCGACGATCACTGGTTTTAATGAAGTGGCGGGGATTACCAAAATTGATGGTGTTGGTGGAAGTTTTGTTTGGGTAACCGCAGAACGGGTAGCTAAAGAGGCGATACAAGGAATGAATTGTAACCGCCGTATTGTGATCCCAGGTTTTATTGCACAGGCTCAAACACTGGGTGGACGCTATACCCCACGCGTTATTTTATTACCCATATTAAAACAAGTATTTTCGAGATTAAAAGCATGAGACAGCTGATCAATGATTTACGCATCCCCATTGGTTTAGCAAACCTTGGCAATAAGCTTTACCACAATGCTCAATATTTAACGGCTGTGGTAGAGGTCAATGAAAAAGCAATGGCACGCTGGTTACCTGCTGGAATGAAACTGGTAAAACCTGCCAGAGCCGATTTGTTCTGTGCTTATTTCCCTGAAAATGTCTATACAGGGGCATATCATGAGACGGGTTTGTTTGTACATATACAGGTGGGTAATAAAATAGGTATTTTTTGTCCATGGATGATTCTGGATGATGATCGGGCCATGATCATTGGGCGTGAATTGCTGGGCTATCCCAAAAAAATGGGAGAGATCAGTTGGGATAATGATGGTACTCGTATTCTAAGCAAAGCATCACGTCGTGGCACTGTGTTAGTTGAAATGGACGCCAAACTTGGTAAGGTCATTCATGATGCACCGCCAATTCTAGGTTTACCACATCGTAATATCACAGGAGGATTAGGTTTGGGCTTACCACGGGAAGTTCGATTTACCCCTAAAGAACATCCTGTCGAAGTTCGCCGTGTGGAGATGAACTTACGTTTTACAGGTACGGTAAATGATCCTTTACATGATATGGGACTCGGTAAAGTGGTTGATGCACGATTGCATCGCGTGGATTTATCTGGTGGTTTTATCCCTCCAATTCAGATTCCGCGTTTACGGACTCCTTTGTTCTTAATGCGTCAATTTAATCCACGTATTTTATAAATAGGGAGCATGGCGATGGATATGTTTGCTAGCCCTTCCTCAAGCAAAGCCATTCAATATAGACACGTTTCTGCATCGATAGATATTCAAGTCAGAAGTATGGATTTTACTTTTCCAGATGAAATTCCTGAATTTTGGTTTAGCAATAATCCATTACTTACCATGTTATTGACTGCATTATCTAGTGCTTTTCCTGATGGAGAGCGGCAGT